CGGCCACGCTGACCCCCGCCCCCCGCAGCGTCTCCCTGGTGAACAGGGCCGCCGTGGACTACTTCTTCGTGGAGCTGCAGCTGCAGGCGCACTTCGAGGCCCTGCGGCACTTCCTGCTGATGGAGGACGGCGAGTTTGCGCAGTCCCTGAGCGACCTGCTCTTTGAGAAGGTGAGCCCGGGGCGCCGGCGTGTGGGGCGGGGGCAGGGGCGGCTGCGGGACTGCCCTGGACCCTGCGTCCTCTCCCGCAGCTGGGCGCGGGGCAGACGCCCGGGGAGCTCCTCAACCCGCTGGTGCTCAACGCGGTGCTGCGCAAGGCGCTGCAGTTCAGCCTGCACGGCGACTCCCCGCTTGCTGCCAACCTCTCCTTCGCCCTCAAGTTCCTGCCGGAGGCCTTCGTCCCCAACGCCCCGGATGTGCTGAGCTGCCTGGAGCTCAGGTACAAGGTCAGCAGAGCCGGCGGTGTGGGCGGGGCGGGCTGGTGGTCAGGGCCGTGGGGCCAGGTGCGCTGAACCACTCCCCGCAGGTTGACTGGCCCCTCAACATCGTCATCACTGAGAGCTGCCTGAGCAGGTACAGCGGCATCTTCTCCTTCCTGCTGCAGCTGAAGCTCATGATGTGGACGCTCAAGGACGTCTGTTTCCACCTCAAGCGCACAGGTGAGGCCTGCCCAAGGCCGGCCCCTCATTTTCTGGTGGCCATGGTGGCAGTTGCTCATCCCCTTTCTGTGCAGCCCTGGTGAGCCCAGCCGCGGGCTCTGTGCAGTTCCGCCAGCTGCAGCTGTTCAAGCATGAGATGCAGCACTTCGTGAAGGTCATCCAGGGCTACATCGCCAACCAGATCCTGCACGTCACCTGGTGTGAGTTCCGGGCCAGGCTGGCCACTGTGGGCGACCTCGAGGAGATCCAGCGTGCCCACGCTGAGTACCTGCACAAGGCCGTCTTCAGGTGAGGCTCGGGGGCAGGGGCGGCGAGGGCATGGGTTGCCCTGAGGCCAGCCACCCACCAGCAGTGTTGGCCCTTGCTCCCCAGGGGCCTGCTGACCGAGAAGGCAGCGCCGGTCATGAACATCATCCACAGTGTCTTCAGCTTGGTCCTCAAGTTCCGCAGCCAGCTTATCTCCCAGCCCTGGGGCCCAGCCGGTGGCCCCCGTGGCGCCGAGCACCCCAACTTTGCCCTCATGCAGCAGTCCTACAACACCTTCAAGTACTACTCCCACTTCCTTTTCAAAGGTGAGCCACCCCCACTGGCCAGTGGGCTTCCTGGCAGAAGGGTGGGGCCCTCCCTGGACCCCACCCATCTATTCACTGCCCCTTCCACAGTGGTGACCAAGCTAGTGAACCGAGGCTACCAGCCCCACCTGGAGGACTTCCTGCTGCGCATTAACTTCAACAACTACTACCAGGATGCCTGAGGCCTGCTCTGTGGCACCCAGGGGCATGCCACTTAGGGATGCCTCCCTTGGTTGGGTCCCGGGCCCAGGCTGGGGGCAGAATGATTACACAGAGATGGACCTTGGAAGCTGCTGGTTTATTTAGGGGCTGGCTCCCTACAAGCAGGAGCCATGCAGTGCTGCCCCTCCCAGGCTGCCACGGTGGTCTGTGGCTCCTTTGCCCTGGGCCTGGTCCCCTCTGCTGAGCTGTCCTTGCATGAGGCCGCTTTTTATGGGGCGCATGTTGGTTGTGGGACTGCTGGGCTGCTGAGTCGGCGTCAGACAGAGACGGGTCAGGTCCTGACTGGACGTCCCTGCCGTCATGGAGAGACGGTGATGGGGTTGCTTGCTGGCTGGGCACCGCCTCGTGGACTCAGCATGACTTGGAGCCTTGGGGGCCTCCCAGTGTGGAAGCCTCCAAGGCGGTTACGAGGATCACGTCACACACAGTTCCGCTGCCCAGAGCGGGGGCTTGCTGCTGTAGGAGTGTCGCCTGTCTGCTGCCCTGCTGGCCCCCTCAGGCTCAGTGGCCTCCGGGACCTCGGTGGCCTCCCCTTCCCTGTGGTATGGAGCCTCCAGCAGCTTCAGCACGCGCTGCACCTGGAGAGGAGCAAGGGGAGGTTGTTGGGGATGTCCCTCCCTGCTGCGGGACCCAGGGATAGAGGAGGGACAGGCAAGCCCTTGCCTCTGAGAAGTCTCCATTCTCAGCAGCCTCAATGGCGTTCTGTGCGATGTAGTTCCGCAGGACATATTTAGGGTTGTTGGCCTGCATGACCCGTGTGCGCTCAGCCTGCCAGGCGCTGTCGTCAGCGGCACCCTTCCTGTCCTCCTCCAGCCTGGTCCTAGAATCATAGCCAAGCCCACCTTTGCAGCAGCTGCAGCTCCCAGGGAGATGGTGCCACAGGCAGGCAGCACCTCACTGGCCCTGGACGGCAGGGTTGGCCTCACCTGTACTCCTGGAGCCAGTCTGTCCAGTGACCCCTGTTCCTGCTTAGCAGCTCGGCCGGGCTCAGCTGCTCCAGCCGCGACTGCTGCTCCACGCGCTCCAGCTCCTTTGTGATGCTCGCCCGGGTGCCAATGAGTGCGAAGAGCTGTGGGTTTGACTGTGCCAGCACCAGCATCATGGAGAGCTGCCTGTGAGGGTGGCACAGGGTGTCCAGAGGCTGCAGTGTTCCCACCACTGGTTATGGCTGCAGTCTGGGACCCCTGGACACCTTGATGACAACTGTCCTAGAGGAGGAGGAAATGGCCTCAGCTGCACCCCCACCTACAGCCCGACTGGAAGGGGACCCCAGGCCTGACAGAGGAGGCAGGGGCAGGGGCACCTACCAGCTATCCACCCTTGTCCAGCAGCCCCTCCATGTGACGAGACTCAGCTGCACCCGAGGAGCAGATGCCACAGACTGACTCAGGCGGACCCCTGGGGTGGGCAGGGAGGGTGTGGGACCACCCGGGTCCCAGAAAGACCAGGGGTAGGGCACCATCTCCCTGTTGCTTGGCACCCATCTCTGTCCCAACCCAGCACTGACTTCCCCTGGGAGGTCACTGCTGTTGGACAAGCCCTCAGCCCACACCCCACAGTGCTGCATTAAATCCCTCTCTGTCCACAGTCTGTTGGCTTGTTTGACAAAACCCACAACCATACCTCCTGCATCCTGTCCTGAGTGGGCTGCACCCTGGGGACATGTGTGCTTTTCCCGATGGGAGACGGTGCAGAAAGCATGTCCCAGTGGAAACCTAAGGGCCCACAGGCTCTTCCTGGGCAGACCAGAGAACTGGTCTGGGAAACCTCCCTGGAGCAGAGACCACCATCCCCCAGCCTCTACCACTTGGCCGCCCCATACCAGTGTCAGCATCACTGTTCCTCTGACCCTCATTCCTGGGAGTGGAGCAGCCGCCTGGGCCCCCATGTGTCCAGAACCCCCGATGTGCACCCCCGTGTTCTAAATATTTTTCCCTTTGTGGAAATGAATTCCAAGGAAATACGCACCGGGGATCCATCTGGGGTCGGAAGGCAAGCCTCAGCTCCTCCAGGGAGGCACACTGTTCAGTCAGTGCGGTCAGGAACTCGGCCAGGCCTGGAGACTCCGGCTCCACTGGGAAGGAGCTCAGCAGGTAGAAGGTGTTTGTGAAGTCGGCACCTGGAATGTGCAGCTGCTCAGGGTGCTGGGAGGTGGAGGCCAGGCCCTGCACGTCCCTCCTGCAGCACTATCTACTCACAAACTGACCCACACTTGTCTACCTGTTGGGTGGGAGCCCCACTTTGGCTTAGGTCCAGGGTCTCCTTAGCCCCTACCCATCTGCCACCCAGCTCAGCCACCAAGCTGGACCTGGCAAGTCCTCAAAGCCTCCAGCCCGTTTCTTCATCTGTAAAATGGGTACAACAGCAAACGCACTGGGGTTGGCACCTAGCCCTCAGGAGCTGCAATGTCCATAAGCCACTGAAACATCCAGCAGAGGGCTCTGCACAACAGACGCTGCGAGTCCTCAGCCTGACCTGTCAGAACACACTGTCACCATAACCCCTAACAAAGGAGACGAGAAGGGAATCAATACCGTGTGCTACCAAAAATCAACTGAATATGAAGCAGTAATGGAGAAAATGAGAGGCAAGTGGTGTAAGACTCAGAAAACAGTAAAATGGCAGAAGTGTTTCTTCTTCAGTAATCACTTAAAAAGGAAGGGAATTACACTCCAAAGAGATCGGCAGAATGGATTTAAAAAGAGATCTAACTACATAGTCTCAGACTCATGTTAGACTCAAGTTGAGCGAAAGGATGGAAAATATGTTCTGTGCAAATAACCTAGAAAAGCTGGTCTCTCATCAAAGCGGTCTGCAACTGCGTGGTGGTTTACTCGCGTTACCATGGTGATCACTTGGCAGCGCACACAAATACCAAGTCATCGTGCTGTACACCTGAAGTGAATATACGTTATCATGTCGATTAAGAAAAGATCTCAAGTCAATTACAGAAAAAAAAAGACCAACGTCAGCAGAAGGGAAGAAAATACAAGATTACAGCAGAGACAAGTGAAACAGAAAACCAGAAAAATCAATGCAACAAATGGTTCGTTGACAAAAATCAACAAAATTGACAAACAGCTACACTGACAAAAAAACCCCTAAAATAGAAACCCAAGTGGGGACGTCATTACTGGTCATACAGAAATAAAAAGACTATGAGACTACAGTGAACAGCTACGTGCCAATGAATTAGATAACTTAGGTGAGATGGGCAAATGCCCAGAAACATGCAGATTACCAAACTGACTTGAGAAGAAACAGAAGATCTACTCAGTTCTGTACTAAGAATGCCAAGTTCCTGATCCAAAACCTCCTAAAAAAGAAAGGCCCAGAACTGACAGCTTCGCTGGTGAATTCTATCAAACACCTAAAGAATTACCACCGATCCTGCTCAACCTCTTCTGAAAAATGGAACACTTCCTAGTTTATTCTGAGACAGGCACTGCCAAAGCCACAGACGCTACAGGAAAGAAAACTACCGGCCAACATGCCCGGTGAACAGAGATGCAAAAATCCTCATCAGGATGCTAGTCAAGTCAGTCTATGGAAAGGAACACCACCACCACCAGGCAGGGTCTGTCCCGGGACTGGATGTTTGTGTTTCCCAAACACACACGAAACCTCCACCTCCAGTGTGACAATGTGAGGAGGCTGGTCTGTGGGGGGCAGTCAGGTTGTGAGGGTGGGGCCTCCCAATGGGACTCGTGTCCTTGTGAGAAGACACAGAGATCTGCTCCTCCCTACTCGGCCCAGGGAGGACCTAGCGGGGAGACAGCCATCGGTCAGTGAGGAGGCCTCACCAGTAACCCGGCACACTGGCACCTTGATCTTGGACTTCAGCCTCCAGAATGGAGAGATAAGGTCTAGTGTTTGAGGCTGCGCCTGTGGCAATTAATTATAGCAGCTTAAACGGACTAAGGATATGAACGGAGTAAAACCACGTGGTCATGTTGACTTGATGCAAAATGGTAAAAACACTCACACTAGAAACCTGATGAGAGTCACCTGTGAGAGCCCCACAGTAACACTGTGCTCTGCAGTGCAGGACAGGATACTCCCTTCCTGTTACAGCCACAGCTCCAGGCCAGTCAGCATGCCCAGGGCCCCACTGCTAAGTGCAGGACGCAGGGGGATGAAGTGCACTTGGTATTTGTCTGTTAACAGCAGCTAAGGGAGAGGTGAGCCCCACGGCCTCCATGGGCGGTGGCCGAGCACAGCAGGTCTGTTCACACAACGCAGCAGTTCTCAGCCTTAAAACAGTGGCCTGGAGGACCTGATGCTCAGTGACATCAGCTAGACACAAAGGGACAACTGCTGCGGGATTTCATGTCTACAAGGGCCCGAGGAGTCAGATTCACAGGGACAGCAAGTAGGAAGGTAGGTGCTGGCGGGTTATGTGTTTAATGGGGATGGACTCAGTGGGAAGGGTGGAAAGTTCTGGACGTGGGTGGTGGGGATGGCTGCACTTCAGTGTGAATGCACCCAGTGCTGTGGAACGTACACTGAGACACGGTGAAAAGGTAAGTTTCACCTTGTGGGTAACTTACCAGGGCACACAGAGCCCCACTGTGGCGAGTGCGCCTGCCCACACTCACCGGTCAGCTGCATGGTCTCTAGGAGCTTGGCTACCAGTGCTGCGTCGCCCTCCCGCTCGGCCTGCACAAGCCCCAGCTTCCTGCGCATCTTGTGCAGGTAGTGCCTGTGGAACTCGGCGTCGTACTCCTCGGCCAGGATGGCCTCGCCCAGCTCGAGGGGCAGCTCGGGCACCAGGGCCTCGGCCAGCTTCTGCAGGTTCCACTTGCATACCTCAGGCTGCTTGCTGAACGAGTAGCGCCCGGCGTTGTCAGAGGCATTGCACACGTGGTCGGGGTCGTACCTGCCACACAGGGGAGAAGGTGCTGCCAAGGGGACCTGCTGAGGGGACTGTTTGGGCCCCTGGGGGGTGCTCCAAGTGCCCATGTGGGTGCTGCTCTCCTGCCTTGTCCCCCAGGGGTTCTGGCCCTACAGCTGTTGACTCTCTCCTGCCCCCTCAGCCAGCCACCAGCCCTGCCGGGTCCACCTCAGGAGCAGGGAAGCAGATGTCCTTGGGGTGCCCTGGGTGCCCTGCCCCTGGCAGGCACTGCCTTCTTCCTGTTTACCACCTGCTCCTGTCCCTGCCCCTTCAGTCCATTTCTAACCCCAAGTGGAGCACCCTTTCAAAGTGCTTCCCTGTTTGGAACCCTCTAGGGGACTCCACTGCTGAAAACACCAACCAGCACGTGCCTGCAGGCCCCGCCCCCGCCCAGCAACATGGGCGCTATGTGTGTGGGGGGTGCCCACCTGTCCAGGAAGCCAAAGGGCCCGTAGTCGATGGTGAGCCCCACAATGCTCATGTTGTCCGTGTTGAGCACGCCGTGGCAGAAGCCGACACACTGCCACTCAGCCACCATCCGGGCCGTGCGACGTGTCACCTGAGGCAGGACGGGCCTGGTTGCTGCCTCCAGCTCCCCTCCCCACCTGTCTTCCCCTCCCTGGGTGAGCTGTGCTTCTTTAAGGGGCCTGTCCCAGGTCCTGCCATCCCGACCAGCGCGCGGCCCTGCAGGAGACGGCTGGGATACTTGAGGAAGTATCTGGAGGAGTCGACACGGGAGGGCTCTGAACCCCACACCATCCACCTCCTTCATGTACTCGCTGACTTGGACTTCTACCAGAAAAATCATGGAACCTGATATTCCCATGACTCAGGCCCAGTGGGACAACCACATGCAAACAAGGAAGTTACCACATCGCCATGCAAAACCTGTGCTGGGTGCAGGCCCCTGTGCCAGGTTCTGCCTTGCCCCACGGGCTGCCCGGGAAGGAAGTTCAAATGGCCCACCCGGCCTGGCCAGGGTCCTGCCTCCAGCCCTGCTGCTCATCTCCCGGGGCACACTGCCCAGTGCCCCATGCAGCTGCGAGGACGTGCCAGCAGGGAGAGCAGGGGCCCCACAAGACAATCTCCACTGCCCAGCGTCCAAACACTGGGAGGCACGTGCCATGCCTTGTGTGAGTCTGAGGGCAGTCCAGCCACTGGGCAGCACTATCCTCCGCTTCACTGACAGAGAGCTAGACACTCAGGAAGGCAGAGTGACCTGCCCAGACCACCCATGGCAGGTGTGGCCTGAGCTCACCCTGGGCAAAGATGGGAAGGAACAGAGCACAGCAGCAGGTGGGCTCGGGAGTGACCAGTGCAGGTGGGCTCCCAAACACCTGCTTGGCCAGTGCTGACTTCAGGTGGAAAGAGCGCTGACCCAGGGCCCCAGCCCCAGGCAGGCAGACCTGGCACTCTGTGGGACCCACCTCGCGGAAGAAGGCGGCATTCCTCTGCACAGTGTCGCTGGCGTGAGAGGCTTGGATTTCAGGGTAGAAGGTGCTGATCACATAGTCCAGCATTTGTACTCGGATGTCATTTCTCCCCACGCTGGGGCCTGCACGGCCCGTGTGCTCATCCTCAGGCTTAAAGATCTCAAAGGACCCGAACCTGCAGGGAGACCTGGGCTTTCAACAGGTTTACTGTGACCCCTGCCCCTGGGAAAAAAGGGAGGGAGAAGTCTGGCCACTGGACCTGTGGCCGATGGTGGGAGCAAGACCTTGATCCAAACAAAACCAACCACCAGAGAACCATCAGGGACATGAATACAACACGTTCATGTCTGGTCGTTTCACACGGCCTGGGTGCGCGTGGGGGAGGCCCAAGAATGCCACGGCCGACTCTGCTCCCGACTCCACTAGCACAAGATAGGCTCTGTGCCCATCTACCCACACCCAGGGACATGTTGGTCACCAGCGTCCTGTGGTGGGTTCTCCACCAGAGTCACTGTGTCCCCTGGGGGACATGAGCGATGCCTGGAGACATTTTTGTTTGTTGTGACAGGTTACCACCCACAACTAATGGGTGGAAGCCAGAGCTGCTGCCCAGCACCCCACAAGGCTCAGGACAGCGCCACAGCAAAGCAATGGGTCGAAATGCCAGTGATGTCACTGTAGGGAGAAACCCTGGGTCTCCCAGGATGAGGCTGACCCCTGCCTGTCTCCTGCCATCCCCAGAGGACAAAAGGGAACACTGGGGACTGGCCTGGTGACAGCTGAGCCACCTTGGGTGACCAGACATACATGCACAGGGTAGCTTGGCCCCACAGCCATCTCCTGGGTTTGATGCCAGGCAGCTTGGTGACATCCAGGCAAACAGGCTCACATAGGAGATGGAACCAGAGGGGAGACTGGTTAATGAGCGGGCGTGAGGGTCACAGGCACGTTGGGCGGGTCACAGCCCCTTACTCACAATGACACCGAGTGGGGCCACTGTCATGGTTTTACGCAGCTCTGTCCCTGCGCTTTCCCAGACCAGCATGAACAGCCCCTCCCCTGGGGCCCTGCACCCACACTGGTGCCTCGGGGTGTACTCGCTGCCGGGCTGTCACCCCATCTCTGCTATCAGCGACAAGGGCCCGGACAAGGGCGCGTGGGCAGGCTGGGCACTGTCCACGCACAGGATGGGGCTCCTGACCCAGGAAACGCCCAGTGCCCTCCGACCGTGAGGCCCTCCTGGGTCAGAGTCTCCAGGACAGGCCGCTCCTGTGCGGGGGCCGGGCTCTGGACACGTCACCGCCCCGGGACCGTCACCGCGCGAGGCCCGCGGGCCGCCCTACCTGAGGAAGGTGGACGCGATGCGCAGCACCACGGCGCACGGCTCGTGCTTGGGGTTGCCGTCGTAGAACACGTCGCGCACGACCGTGGACTGCGACGTGACGCAGGCGCCGGCGCGCGTGGTGGGCACGCCCAGGTGGAACATGGCCTCGCTGCACAGGAACTCGCGGATGCTGGAGCGCAGCACCTTGC